AGACTTGGAAGATTGTGTTCACTGGCCCACTTGCACCATCTATTGAATCCTCTCAAGTATGAGGACACTGTGGACGGAGCCCGATCCTGGAGGACGAGGTTCTTAAGCTCAGGAAGCAACGGTAGCAATGATGGTCTAGAAGAACATGCAMYCTCAATATCCTTCCACGGAGTTGAAGACAAAGGACCTGACAAGCCAAGCAAAATGCAATAAACAAAACATTTGAATAATTCAATAATTAAGCTCAATAATTGGATAGTATAATGACAACAGTAAGTCAATGTTTACATAACTTTCAGAAGGTAGCCCAACTGGTTGTTCGTACAGGCAACAAGCTTCGCAGCCTCCACTGCAGCAGTGGGGAGCCCTAGTGCATCAATCTGCRACTGMATTGGTTTCTGTCACTGAATAATAGCTGAAACAGCCTCCACTACTGTAGTGGGAGTTCAGTACCATATTACAGCCAAGTCATTGTCCTTCCGCTGCAACAGCATCTGTCACTGAATAATAGCTAAAAATAGCCTCCACTACTGTAGTGGGAGTTCAGTACAACATCCACAGTGAAGTCATAACATTTAGTTTCATAATTGACCATATGTGCGGCAGTCAATTCTGAGTGCCAAAATTCTGCAGTTTGGAGTACCATTGCCAAATAAGTCACTATCGGCAGAGCCAGGAAGAAAGGTGCTTGGATGAAGCGGGATATCRCGATAGTCTAATACAAAGTCCTGCATACTACCRCTGTCACTTAGAATAAGAGACCACCATGGGGCAGAAGGCCAAAAAKGGACRACCAGAGTACCAATCTCRCCACCATATGTCATATGCCTAAGGACTCTGGCTATAAGGTGGGTTGGAGGAACAAGCCAGTTATTKTCACAGCTCCAGTCCAGGGTGAATGCATCTATTCCAGCACAACCCGGGCAGGACCAACGGGAATAGAACTTAGATATYTGTTTAGTATTATAGCTGGCGAAACAGTCCACAGTGTGCGGGCCCCATAACTCATCTAGCTCCGAGAAATGAGCCGGGTTCAGCATCCAATCATCAGTATCAATAACTTTGGACCAGTAGTCTGCTCTATTGTTAAGATTCCTGGGGATYCACTCTGGRAACAATCTGATGCCGTGATGACGACAGAGGGAATAAATTTTTGTAGCTTCSTCCTGCAAATGACTTTTGTTGCTACCAACTGACAAGATAGACACTGTAGACTGGTTGTCCGATCTATGCTTGCATTCTTTGTTTGTAAGACTTGCGGCAAATGACTCCAACACTAAACGCACTGCTTTCAATTCCCTGAAAGTAGAGCTCTGGAGACGATCACACTTGTCCCAGTCGCCATGGGCAAAGACATCACCAAGCTGCACAACATAGCCGCCCCATCCAGTGCTGCTTGCATCCGAATAGGAGATGACGTCAATTTTTGGGGAGAGATGCCAGATTGGCTGGCCAGCTAAAGAATTAAAATTGTCAATCCAGAAGTGCACTTCTTGTAGGGCACTAGGCAGAAGAGAGACCCTCGAGCTCATTGAGTAAACACTGTTCTGTAGTGAGTACAAGTTCCTTGTAAACAAGCGGGCAACAGGCCCTAATGCAAGACCCATGGAAATGATTGTRCCTGAGACACGTGCAACTTTACGRGCTSTGACCTCTTTRARTATTAGGAGTTCATTTAGCATGGACATAAGGTTGTCAACCTTGTGATGAGGTACTTGAAATAACCCATTACGCAAATCAATAACGTATCCCAGATATTCCCCACACTGGTGAGGGACTAAGTCACTTTTCTCTTCATTAATTATCAGACCACATCRAAGTATATCRTTCCTTAGGGAGTTTGACAGAGTACAGGCACTGTCTGAAGATGAGGAAACTCCAAAGCCATCATCCAGATACATTACRGTGCGTTTTCCTTGCCCTCTCCAGTGTTTGACAAGAGGCCGCATTACCTTAGTAAACACATAAGGTGCTGTGGCAAGTCCAAATGGTAAGGAAGCAAACTGAAAGTATCTCACAYGTCCAGAAATGKGAAACGAAAAACCCAGATATGTTCTATGTGAAGAACCAATGTCGATATGGTGATAACCATTCTTTAAGTCAAATGTAACGAACCAATCTCCCTTAGA